ATCTATCTATCTATCTATCTATCTATCTATCTATCTATCTATCTATCATCTATCTGTCTGTCTGTCTGTCTGTCTGTCTATCTATCTGTCTGTCTGTCTGTCTGTCTGTCTGTCTGTCTGTCTGTCTGTCTATCTATCTATCTATCTATCTATCTGTCTGTCTGTCTGTCTGTCTGTCTGTCTGTCTATCTATCTATCTATCTATCTATCTGTCTGTCTGTCTGTCTATCTATCTATCTGTCTGTCTATCTGTCTATCTGTCTATCTGTCTGTCTGTCTGTCTGTCTGTCTGTCTGTCTGTCCGTCCCTCCGGCCGGCCGGCCGTCTGTTTGTTTGTTTGTTTGTTTGTTTGTTTTTGTAGCACTACACAAAACAGCTAAGTAGCTACTTTGTACTTACGGTGTACATACCAGGCAACATTATAAATGGCAAACTTTGTAAGTACTTGATGAATACCCAATAATTACCCATTAAGTACCCAGTATGCACCAGGTAAGCAACAGATACTTACCCTGTAATAGTCTGTATATGTATTGGTACTTGTAGTACCCAATAGGTACCCATTAGTTACCTGATAAGTATACAATATGTACCAGGTATGTACCTAGAACATACCTGGTAAGTATAAGTATAAGTATAAGTATAAGTATAAGTATAAGTATAAGTATATTCAGGTCTCTCTTGTAAATGAGTCCTCGAGGCTCAATGGGATTCACCTGTCTAAATAAAGGTTGAATGAAAAAAAATAAATAAATAAGGTACATACTTTATTTATGTTCCAGTTAAGTTACAGGTATTAACCCTGTATGTACAGGAGTGTATTATATATGGCTACTTGTGTACCTGCGAAGTGCGTAATATGTATGCGACAAGTACTAATTAAGTCAAGTCAACTTTATTTATAGAGCACATTTAAAACAGAACCTGTTATCAAAGTGCATAATATGTACCTGGTAAGTACCCAGAATGTATTTGATATGTATTAAAATGTACTGGGTACCTACCATAGTATATGTCAAGTAAGTATCAGGTACTTACTCTAAACATAGAAGGCTGTATTATGTATTTCTACTTACCTGATACTTACTTCGTATGTACTCAGGATGTGTCAGGCTGTAATATGTACCTAATGAGTATCCAGAATGACCTGGTAAGTATCAGATATGTACACACCACATATCGAGTTTGTTACAATTAAGTACCCAGTAATTACAGTACTAGGTACTTATTATATATTCTGTATTATGTATTACTACTTGTTTTGTTGCCATCTAAGAGCCAAATATATTTGTTTAGTATAGTTATGAACAGTATGTTTTACACAATGTGCTTTTAAAAGCTAAACAATAATAATGGATTGCAAAATCTGGCAACTCATTTAAAAGTTCATCTCCGGCCCACTGAGCTCGTTGGCACTACGATCCCTTCATGCATATTTATTTCAGAGACATGTTATGCAAACAGGATGATGTAAGATATGAGAGCTCCTCAGACGCCACAGTCTGCACCGCTCCAACTCAACAGGCTTCTTTTTACGGCAGGTTTAGTTTTTTGTTTTAATTAATTTTTTTAATCCATTTTCTTCCAGCTAAAAATGAGGATGGAGAAAGACAGTGAGGGAGCATGGAGGGAAGAGGAGGCAACAAGGAAAACTAGGATCCAGATTAAGTTTTTTGCACATGAATGTTAAGATTTTTTAGTAAAATAACAAAAAAATGTCAATAATTTTAAATGTTTTATGCAAAACACTACACTCTTTTTGTTTTCTCTCTTTTTAAATTAGCTGTGGTGGCCATTTTGAAAGCTATCCAGTTATAGATGTACATCCAATGAATAGTTCCTGAAAGTTTTATTAAATTTGTCCAGAGTAAAGAGTCATTTTGAGCATGGTTACACAAAAACAGGCAAAAATGTGTATCCGCCTTAACCTTTTAGTGGCTTTCTGTAATAGACTGTAATTCAACGCCGACCAAAATGCTGTAAATAATTATAGCATATTGATATATTGTGAAAAGTGTGCCTTAACTCAGAAGTTTAAAGGCAAGGACAAATTATTATTTGAGTTATTTCGTACTTTTCCTGGACTGTAATGATGCTTTTACATCATTTTCTGACTTTCTCCCTCTCCAGTCAAATTACAGTGGTATTATTTTCAGACATCACTGACAAGAAAAACCTCTCTAATGACTTCCAAGTTAAAAAATCAAAAAAGTGTTACCATTTTACTTTCCTGGGAACTTGAATAGTGGCTTTTATCAAAATTCTACTCAGTATCTTTTTTTTTTTTTGGATGCCTGTAAGGTGAGATATCTGTCAGCTGAGTTGTAAATTAGAGTTTAAAGGTTCGTTTTCGTGCATTTGTGCGCTGTAAGCTGAGCGCAACAAAAACTAGCAGTAAACGTTGACCTTTAAAGGACAAATCCTGTCATTTACTGCAGAGACACAGCTGTTTGCAGCTGCACGTCGGTGCCAGAGGTACTCTGAGGGCTCCTGCTGCTGGAAACGCTTCTGTCACAAAAACACGAGTCTGTTCTGAGACTGAAAGAGCAAACTCTTTATGATGAAGAGAAAACAGAAAAAAAAGGGCTTTCAGTGAAGTCACGGTGTTTTTTCAGAGAAGCAACAAAACCAAACACAAAGGTTTTTACCCATGTTGTGTGTCTCTGTGTGTGTGGTCACATATGTTTGTTACAATATCTCATAAACCTCAGGATGAATTTTAACAAAGCTCTCTCATACAACTGATTAACTTGTGTAGTCAACCCAATTCAAGATGGCTGCCACAGCCAAATAAACTTAAAAATACCCAAATGACTCTAACTTTGTCAGTTTGACCAATAATACCCTAAAACCTGATCTGAGACTGATTCTCAACACTAACTCTGAGTGTGAACAGATTGTCAGCTCCTTGTTTACAATTTGCAAACAGTTTAGACTTAACTCTGTCCATCTGTTAGCAAAATATCTCAGAATCCCCTGAACAGATTTTACCGAAACAAATACCGTATGCACATCTTCAGGGCCAATCCAATTCAAGATGGCCACCACAGTCATCTGTGGAAAACACAAACATGGCTAGTCAACTTTACAGTGATGAAGCTCAAACTTGGCATGGTTATGGCAGAGATGTTCAGAATGCATACTTCGAGTGTTAGTCACTGTGTAAAACTTTAGCTTTGAGTATTAAGAGTTAACTCTGTTAGCAAAATATCTTATGAACTGCAAAAACTGACATCTCATCAAGTGATTACCGGCAACGTTGGCAGTTAACCTAATTAAAGATGGCCACCATAAGTAATCAACATTAGCCAACACAATGGCTATACCTCACTTTTATAACTCATAAGCTGAGTTATCTACAGCACAAACATTAAGACACCACTGAGTGTCCAAATACACTAAAACAACTAAAACTTTGTCATTTCTCAACATAAAATGATCTTAGTTTTATATTCTGGCATGAAAGCCGGTGGGCGATATGCATTCTTTCAAAGAATGTTGAGTTTTTAATTTCAAACTGTTTCTCAGCAGCCTATCAGAAGGAAATTAAATTAATTTATTATGCTATCTACTAAATGTTCGCTAGAGGGCGCCATACACAACTTATATTGCATTGCAGCGCAATTGTACATCAATACAAATAGATGCACTTATAGTCGATTTTATAGCTTAAGCTTAATAATAACTAACTGAGGCCTTAGATTACAGCTCCTTGTTCTGCTTGAGAGTCATATGCGTGACAAAATAACATCCAAACAGGCTTGAAAATTACAAAATAGGTTTATTTGTATAAACAACTACAAAAACCGTAATAATCAAGGATTACTTTTCCAAATGAGACAAACTAGACGATGCGGTATTACAACGTTTTCACAAAATCAAAACACAAGCAAACAGAAAACCTTTTAATTCTGTGTTTAGCTCTTTAACAGTAAGTCAAAGGTGCTCCCTCGTTCTGTAAGACAGGGGAACATATCCTGAGATTTACAGGGTTTTTTTATTTGGAAGAACATTCTTTAGTGCGTATTTTGTCTCCCATGTGTCCTCCTACGGCCTCTTATTTACAAAAGATTCAGGAGCTGTGAAGACCGACACTAACACTGCATAGATGATTCACTCTCACTGTCAGGAACGTGAAATATTTTTATTTCAGGGTCCCCAGAGTGACTGACTCCTTACCTTCAGAGGAGAAAGGGAGCGAGGAGCGCTTTGCTGTGGGGTAAGAAGTGTATGGGGGTGTGGGATAGGTGTTAGATGGTAAACGTGGCAGGGTGGATGTGGAGGAAGAGTGGCCCTGGGTCTGCCTCTCGGGAGGACAGTGGGCCGGAGATGAGGACCTGCCCTTGCTTTGCAGGCTGCTGCTGCTGCTCTGCAGAGGGGAGCTGGAGGTTCTGGGGCCACGAGTCAAAGATGACGTGGAGGAGGTGGAGAGAGGCGAGGTCCTCATGCCATAGCCCAGAATTCCAGTACTCATCAGGAACTCTCTGGAACCATACACTGGAGGAGTTGGTCCACGCGAACCTGGAGGTCGAATGTTGTCTGGAGGTAGACTCCTCCTGCTAGGAATGTCGTAGATCCCCATATCTGGACCATATAGAGCCTGAGACCTGGCTTGGACGTGGAGCATCCTCTCCCTCTCCTCCAGCTCCCGTCTCTCGTAGATGGAAGCCATGATGGTTTTGGAAAAGTTGTCGTATCGAGCCGCCGCAGACTTTGGAAGTGTCAGGTCGTGCTGGATTAGATCCCGTAGGCTGTCTTGAAGACTTTGAGAAGTTGTTTCTCGCTTCGCCGCACAGGGAGGGGGGACGTCTCGCGACGTTACGCTTTGGGTTTGGAGGTCTCGTGGAATCAGCCCTTGAAAAGCAGGAGAAGAGTCTCTCTGAATGAAACCTTGGTAAGAGGGTGAGGGGTCCCTCGAAGGCAGACCCTGCAAGGACGGAGAGGAGTCTCGAGGCTGAGGGGATTGTCTGGTGACCCCCATGAACACGGGGCTGTAGTTGTGGGGGAGCAGACGCTGCACGGTCCCATCTGTGCCTAGTGACATGAAGTGGGAGTGGTAGCTCATTGACGGGGCCCCTCTTTGGGCCAAGAACTGAGGATCTGCAGGGTTGCTGAGGTTATCATAAGAGGGGCTGACACTGCTGCTGCACTGGTTGACCAGCAGACTGGAAGCAGAGATGATCCCTGTAGGAGGATTAGACCCCAACCCATCAGTGTGCATCGCGAGCAGCTGGGATTTGCTGCCATGGCGACTGCTGTGTTTTAAAGCAAGCGAACGGGAGTTGAGTGGCAGAGAGTTGAGCTGTAAGGAGCTAGAGACGGTGCAGGGCTGGAGGGAAGGCTGGACAGGCAGGCTGCCTTTCACAGGGCTTTCTTTAGACTCAGAGAAGACGTCAGGACCTCTGTTGTTGCCCAACTGGTCAGATGTCTTCAGCAACTGAGCAACACAAAACCAACCGTAAGAATCATTGCATCAAGCAGCAAACAAAGCTGAACAAAAAAAACCAACCTGCTGCGGGGGAATGGGTGATGATCCTCTGGATATGGCCTCCAGGACTGGCCGCAGCTGTGGCACAGTGGGAATAGACACAGGAAGGATGGATTTGGTGTGATGTCCCCCATCTGGAAAGGAGGTCATCTTGTGATTAACGACTGACGTTAGCAAAACGTTTAGAAAAACCTGCAAACACATCTCGGCTATGACATATTTAATGCAAGAACTTGTCTTTATAATAATAATAATGTCTAATGACGGCATATTATAGAAATGTAGTAATATTTTACAATTAATCAACATCTGCCTGCAGGTGCTGGTCACAAAATTAGAATATCATGAAAAAAAAATGTTTTCAGTGATTCCATTCAAAAAGTGAAACTTGTATATAATATTCATTCATTACACACAGACTGATATATTTCAAATGTTTATTTCTTGTAATATTGATGATTATAACTGACAACTAATGAAAACCCTAAAGTCAGTATCTCAGAAAATTAGAATATTACTTAAGACCAATTTAAAAAATATATATTTTTAGAAACGTTGGCCAACTGAAAAGTATGAACATGAAAAATATGAACATGAAAAGTATGAGCATGTACATCACTCAATGCTTAGTTGGGCTCCTTTTGTCTGGATTACTGCAGCAATGCGGTGTGGCATGGAGTCGATCAGTCTGTGTCACTGCTCAGGTGTTATGAGCCCAGGTTGCTCTGATAGTGGCTCTTCTGATTGTTGGGTCTGGTGTATCACATCTTCCTCTTCACAATACACCATAGATTTTTTTATGGGGTTAAGGTCAGGCAAGTTTGCTGGTCAATTAAGAACAGGGATACCATGGTCCTTAAACCAGGTACTGGTAGCTTTGACACTGTGTGCAGGTGTCAAGTCCTGTTGGAAAATGAAATCTGCATCTCCATAAAGTTGGTCAGCGGCAGGAAGCATGAAGTGCTCTAAAACTTCCTGGTAGATGGCTGCGTTGACTTTAGACCTCAGAAAACACAGTGGACCAACACCAGTGGATGGCACCCCAAACTATCACTGACTGTGGAAACTTGACCTCAAGCAAAGTGGATTCTGTGCCTCTCCTCTCTTCCTCCAGACTCTGGGACCTTGATTTCCAAAGGAAATGCAAAATTTACTTTCATCCAAGAACATAACTTTGGACCACTCAGCAACAGTCCCAGGCGAGACGCTTCTGATGCTGTCGCTCATTCAAGAGTAGCTTGACACAAGAAATGAGACTGCTGAACCCCATGTCTTGCATATATCTGAGCGTGGTGGTTCTTGAAGCACTGACTCCAGCTGCAGTCCACTCTTTGTGGATCTCCCCCACATTTTGGAATGGGTTTTGTTTCACCATCCTCTCCGGGATGCGGTTATCCCTATTGCTTGTACACTTTTTTCTACCACATCTTTTCCTTCCCTTCACCTCTATTAATGTGCTTGGACACAGAGCTCTGTGGACAGCCAGCCTCTTTAGCCACCTTTTGTGTCTTGCCCTCCTTGTGTAAGGTGTCAATGGTCGTCTTTTGGACAACTGTCAAGTCAGCAGTCTTCCCCATGATTGTGTAGCCTACAGAACTAGACTGGGAGACCATTCCAAGGCCTTTGCAGGTATTTTGAGTTAATTAGCTGATTAGATTGTGGCACCAGGTGTCTTAATATTGAACCTTTTCACAATATTCTAATTTTCTGAGATACTGAATTTGGGGTTTTCATTAGTTGTCAGTTATAATCATCAACATTAAAATAAATAAACATTTGAAATATATCAGTCTGTGTGTAATGAATGAATATAATATAAAAGTTTCACTTTTTGAATGGAATTACTGAAATAAATCAACTTTTTCATGATATTCTAATTTGATGACCAGCACCTGTATTTTTACCGACTTTCTTCATCACTTTTTTAGACTTTCTGCTCCCACAGACACGTACAGAATGATGTCAAAAGTATTTTAGCAGTGCCGAGTCTAGTTATCAGAGATTTTGTGTAATTTTGCTGTACCATCCATGAGAGCAGCGTGGCTTTTCAACAGACTGCGGTCTGGTTTTGGAGGCAGTGGTGGTGGAGTTTTCAGCTGTTTGATGTCCGACAGCTCCACAACTCCAGCTGAGCATTGCTGGCAAGAAAAATTAAAATTAAAATCAGATACGATGCAGCTTATATTCCTTGACAGCGGTCACGGTCCTTAGACGGTGGGAAAATACTTCAGCGTTCATGCATACTTTATTTTGTAGGGCTAGACTTTGTAACCCGTTGTCCCCGACTTTCGCTGCCATCTGTCGGTCGAGCTCTGGCCTCAGGAACGGAGGCTGAACACGAACGACTGTTTTCTTGAAGGACCTTTCTGTGTAACTGGAGGACGGATGGATGAAAAAGCATCGGTCAGTAAATGTACAAAGCTGCCAACAGATGCAGATCATGCAGAAAAAAAATGTGTACTTTGGTGAAATGGGGCTGCAAACCAGATACTCCATGTTTTTACAACAACCTCGTGTGAAAGGGTTAACTCCTCCTTGAAACTTCCCAGTCACCTGTAAAAACACAGAGATATATGTTGATGCTGGGCAGTGGCATGTATGTTATTATTTTTTAACCATGAAGTCTTTTAAAGTTATATTTTAGTTCAGCTTTATAGGCTTCAGACTGTTTTTTTTGTTTGTTTGTTTCTTCACTTGTCTGCTTTTTATTTTTATGCACGCACCGAACACTAGAAAAAAAGGCCTAGCATTTCTTCATGGCAAGAATTTAGACTATCATATTATGTTAAGAAATGACATTTAATATTAGTCAAACCTTAAAAAATATATTAGCACAATACCATGAGATATGCTCAAATTATATGTGGTGAATAAGTGAGTTATATGAGTTATAGCCATTTCTGTGTTGGCTAATGTTGATTAGCTGTGGCAGTCATCTTAAATCAGATTGAGTCCAAAATGTAAATATTTCTAGATTTACATCCAGTGATTATTTTCTGAAAGTTTCATTAAAGTCTTTAAAGTGGTTAATGATATATTCTGTTAACAGACAAAAATGGTTGACTCCAACATCTGATGCTGCTTTTAAGCCAAAATTGTGCTCAATGAGTAGCACTTGCATCATGTATTGTGAAAGTTGCTCATCTACGACCTCACCAAAGTTTAGCACAATAGCTATCAAATTCATTAAATGATAGCCGTTTATGTGTTTTTCAAGACGGTTGGTTCTGGCGATTATATTAAATTAGATTAACACCAAAATGTTAACAGTTGTAGTAGGACATCAAATAAATATTTCCTGAAAGTTTTATTAAAATTTGTTGAGTGGATCAGTAGATATTTTGATAACAGACAAAATTAACACTGAAAACATTTTTAAAAAGACGTATGATCCGTTAGAATGTGTGTTAGGGATCAGTCTCAGCTGCTACCACATCAAATTTTAGTCCAATATTTGTAAAATTCACTTAGTTATTATCAATATGTGTTTTTTAAGTCAGCTACCTTCGCATTTTAGAGGCTTGCTCCGAAAAACAAAAAGCGTTTCAACCGTTTGCACCACTGTTGAGAATAGTTCAATTTTAACAAATCCAGCAAAGACTAAATTTAAAGAGACGTGATTCTGTGGTGGAAATGGCTCACTTGTTCGTTGGTGGTGCGGCCTCTGGACACCAGGTACAAGTGGAACCCAGTGAGACCCAGAACAGGGATAAGAAACAACCCAGATATACTGATCACCACCAAACTGGAAAAACTGATAAGGAAAACTGCTTCCTAGTCGCATCATTTACAGAAAAAAACCACCGACAGGTTACAAGGATACGTGACGAGGCAGTGCAGGCGCCACAGGTCATCCATGTGGTGCAGGACGTACATGAGGCCCAAGGAGAACACGCCAATCATGTGAATGGTGAGCGACAACAGAAACAGGAAGAAGTAGCGATAGTTCCGCCTCCCGATGCAGTTGTTCACCCACGGACAGTGATGGTCAAAGTCCTGAGTAGAAAAAAATTAATTAAATTAAAAAAATTCAGAAAAATTCTCAGATCTAATTAAAGAATTGCAGCTTGAATGGTTGAACATCCACTTTGTTTCTAAATAGAGTTTACTGTCTGAAGCCGTTCCTAAATTGATAAACTTTATAAATAAAGATGATCCCTCTTTAAATGCATTTGATCCAATAAAACCTTTAGAAGTACTTGATATCATTAAGAATCTTAAAAACTCTTCTGCTGGCATGATGAAATTACAGCCTATCTTATCAAAAAAAAAGATGCACCTATAATTGTTGTTCCTTTAACATTTATTTTTCCATGTCACTTGAATCTGGTATTATCCCACAAGTTTGTTCTGAAACAAAGTTTACAGATTTTTTTTTTAACACATTTGTTTTATTTTTTTATTATTATTTTAATATTTTTGGACAATTTAAATTTATTATGAACTATTATCTATTGCTTTGGTGTGTATTTGTGTGTGTTTAAAGTACGATGTAAGCTTACGTATAAAGCTTTTATGATTATTTTTTATTTATTTTTTTATAAAAGGGGGGGGGGACGCTTGTAAGCCCATTTTGGGTTTTTATGACCTACCCTGCACATTTTATTGTTTATCTTTTCCTTTATGTGTGTTGTTTCTTTTTTGTGCAAACAATAAAATAAATAACAAATTGTCTTTCAACAGAGATAAAAAATCTGAGAAGAGGATTTGCCTGATTAATGAGATACCCCCCCCCCCACCCATCCCACCCCCAATCAGTCCAACAGAAATCTCTTCTTTGACTCTCAACTCTACAATCACTCATAAGCCCCTCGTGTTTTTTCTCCCAGGCTTTCTAATTACTTTCACTAATCCTAATCACCCAATTCCCACTTTTCGTTCTGCAAATTTGTCTGTTTTTTTATTCACAGACAAGTCAGACGGTTCATGCTGCATACCTCCACACAGTGATCGCAGACGCTGCAGTGGGAGCAGCGTGGGGGTCTGTAGAAATGGCACGACGCACACCACTTCATCCGCACCTGGACGCCCTTCACCTCCACGTTCTTGTACAGCGGCGCGCGGAATTCATCGTCCTTATCTTCATCCTCTCCTGCTACAAAAACAGAAACCGAACTAAAGTGACAAAGTCACAACTTTAAAATAAAACCAACCAGCCTGAAGTGACTTTCTGGGATTACTAACCCACAGGAAGCACCCCGGCATCCATAAACGTTGCCATGGTGAAGTTGGCGAGCACAAACAGGAAAAGGATGGCGCAGCATGGTGGCACAGCAGGGCAGATGGTAAAAGCCAGCCACGGGCATCTGAATATACACACACAAAGAAAGAAAAAACTTTATTCACATTTGAGTTAGAAGAAGAATAGGTTTCTGTTGGGAATAAGAGGTTTTTTGGGGGAAAGAAAGCATCTATCCCTTAACACAAATCAAGGCTACAGTAAAGACTTTAGAGGATCATCTTCATCTCATTTATTCTGAGGGGAACAGTGGATCACAAAAGTAATTGTTTACAGTGAGAGATAAGCTTGTATTAGCGTGTGTTCAGCCGTGCCAACGACAAGGGATTAAATAAAAGGGGTTCTTCTCTTCCTGCATCCTGCAGCAATAATCTGCTTCCTCTGTTTGGGCTGAAGGGAAATTTCCCTCTTTTTTTCTCCTTAGAGTTTTAAGTGGTAAACAACTCCTTAAAGATTTAGGGCCTAATTCACTAAAAATGCACAATCGATGTGTTTAATATCAGTTTTGTGCATCATTGGCACCCACTATTCGGTCTGTGAAATAAAGCAAATACAACGTATGAGACGTATACCGGTGAAAATAACACCCTTCAGTTTGGCACGTTTGAACAGTTTGCACTGTTTTTATGTCAGATTACAGATGTTATGTTACGTTGTTTATTTGTCATATGCAGGTTAATGCAATGTCAACAATGCAATGAAATGTTCAGGATGAGAAGAACTGATTCCACTCACTAAAAAAAAAAACACACAAAAATAAACCAAGATAAACTAAAGCATGCAATAAGGGTACAAAATAAAGTATCAAAAAGTGAAAAAGCAATATAATATTTACAAGGTTCAAAAGAAATATAGTAAAAAAACAACATGGTAGAATATAACATGCAAGTAGGATGAATCTGTATAAATAAGCATTTCATAGGTAGTAATATAAGTTAAAATGCACATGATATATATTGCACATAACTAACATAAACTGCACAGGTTGTGTGACAGGTTATTGCACAGGTAGTAACATCGAGATGAGTTTTGATGGTAAGGTAGTGACATACATGATACAGCCACATAATGCAGCAGCAATTAATCTATTAGGTGTCACAGATGTGGCTTGGTGCAATGTTTTGTCAATTATTCAAGAGTTCTGTAATCTGACAGCTTGTAGATAATAACCGTATTTGAGTCTTTTCATGCACGATGGGAGGCTCCTGTATCGTCTGCCTGAGTGTAGTAGATGGAAATGTCCTTGTGCTGGGTGGGTGTGGTCCTTAATGATGCTGCGTGCTTTACGCAGACATGGGCTGCGGTAGATGTCCTGGATGGTGCAGAGACTGCTATCAGTGATGTCCTCTGCTGTTTACACCACCCTCTTGGTGGTGTCTTGGCTGCATAATCTAGATTTTACTGCAGTGCTCACTGTGCGCTCCTTTTCTACCAGAAAGATCAGGGGACGCTTGCCTTCAGTGCGGCTGCAGACCAGAAGAGACTGTCCTCAGGGTCCCACAACCACAGTCCATGATAACTGAGCTAATCATTTTGAACACCCACTGTGGGAATGTTTTATATTTACACAGTTCTTTATTCTGAATGTAAATCAGCAGAAACAAGATTCTACACACTTTAGGACAATGTACTGTGTAGACTATTAACCTGTTGACACTCGAGTATGGGACTTTCAAGAATCAAGCTCAAAGTTAAAAACTACAGTTGATCCAAGTATTTTACAGGTGATCCTAAGCAAGTTAATTAGACTTAATAACATATATATTATAAAAAAAATATTAAAAAGAATCAAATATATTTTTTCTGAGTGGTGCTTTTTTAAAGATGCAAACTGTTCAGACGATTTTAGGTAGTAAATGCAAAACGATGATCCCTGTATCTTGGAACAATTAAATAGACCTGTCTGATGATGGTAGAGTGGAGAGAAATGGACCAAATGATTGAAGCCTGGCTTACCGTAATGAGGTAGTTGGTCCGGTGTGTAGAAGGAGCTGAGCCAAAAAGCTAAGCACCTGATTTACTGGGCCATCTACATTTTAGCCCTCACTTATGGTCATGAGACTTGGACTTAATGAACAAAAAGGAAGGGGCTGTTGGGGGGAATCTTGGAGTAGAGCTGCTGTTCCTCTGCAACCAAAGGAGTCAGCTGAGGTAATTCTCTGGCATTTAATTTAATCTCTGGCTCTTGAACACCTCCCTTTGGAGGTTTTATCTCACAGGGAGGAGAACCTAGGGCAGATCAATAGCACATTAAAGGAATTGTTTATTTCCACTGGCCCGGGAAGGACTTGGTATGCCCCAGCATGAGTTGGAGTGTGTCACTGGGGAAAAGAAAAACAGGACTTCTGTCACCTAATGGATGGATGGATGGATGGATGAATGGAAGGATACTTTCAGACATTTAATCATGAAATGTTTCTCTGTATAAAATGCATTGTTTATCTTTCCCATCAACTCTCTCTGTGTGTGTGGATGGGTTCAATTACTAAACTAGAGAGTCCTGATGGTCTGAGATTAGAAGGAGGGTAAAATATCATGTTGCAATCATAGACAGAAAAAAAAGAACCACTAGATTAAATCAGCAGTGTTTGTCTAAACCAGTGATTCCCAACACTGGTCCTTGAGGAACACCACCCTGCATGTTTTACTTGTTTCCCTGCACACCTGATTCAGTGATTTGATTATTTCCTCAAGTTCTGCAGGAGCCTGTAAATCACCCATTTATTCAAATCAAATGTGTCAAAGCAGGGAAACAACTAAAACATTTAGGATGGTGTTCCTCAAGGACCAGAGTTGGGAACCATTGGTCTAGCCTATGTTATGTATGATTTTTTATAAATATCATTCAGTTTGGGTTGGTAGCAGCAGACCTACAGAAGAATAAGCAGTCAGAGCATCCTTGATGCATCCTTACATTTCTATGCTGATGACACAGTTGTTTATTGTCGAGCTAAAACAGTTGCTAAGGCTTTCCAGCTTTTGCAATCCGCCTTTGACATTGTCCAGTCAAATTTGTTCCACCTCAAACTTGTCCTAATTCTTCCTCTGATTTTATCCTCAAATGGTGTCCCTATTGAGTTTGTTGATTCCTATAAATATTTGGGTATCTTAGTCGACTCGCATCTCTCTTCTAAGCTCCACGTGGAAAACCTAATAAGGAAACTGAAAGTTAAACTGGGTTTCTATTTCAGAAATAGATCATGTCTAACTCTGAATGCTAGGAAACACCTTGTATCTGTGACTTTCCTTCCCTCCATTGATTACAGTGACATTATTTACATGAACGCTCCTACAAGAACTCTGCAGATGTTGGATGCTGTCTATCATGGTGCACTAAGATTCATAACTGGCTGTAACTATTGTACCCACCACTGCACCCTGTATTCACTGGTTAACTGGTCATCATTAACTTCATGCAGACTCTCTCACTGGTACATTTTCATCTTTAAATCACTTCTTGGTCTGCTGCCTTCATACATCTCCTCCTACAAGTCTCTGCGTGAGTGCAGCTACAGCGTGCGCTCTCAGGACATTATTACCTGCAGTGTTCCCTCAATGAGGACTGAACTAGGCAAAAGGATCTTCTCCTACTCTGCTCCTGTTTCCTGGAATATCTTACAAAAAGATTTGAAGCTCTCGACCTTGACCTCTCTCCCTCTCTCTTCAAACATCTGTTAAATTCCTGGCAAGGACCAGTGCAGACATGTTCCTGTTTTTAGTTTTCTACATTCGTCTTATAATCTAGCTGTTTTTGCTACTTTTTTTTGCCATCTTATTTTAATTTGTTTAAAAAAAAAAGAAAATCTGTATGCCTCTTTTATGATTGTCTATTTTTATTGTTGTTGTCCACTGTTGTCGTCATTCTTTGTTAAAATCAGGTCTCTCTTGTAAATGAGTCCTCGAGGCTCAATGGGATTAACCTGTATAAATAAAGGTTGAATGAAAGAATGTGCACCTCTCAGACTTGACATGGAAGTCTGAGTCAAACTGACAACATTTCCCTTTTTGTAATCACTTCATTAGCAACTAATTGATGATGTCTTTTAGAGACAGAACACAAAGGCAGAATAAAGGTGAAATTATTTCCTGTTTGTGCTTCATGCTTCAAACCCAAAAGTGGGATTTGGAAATTGGAGCCTGGTTTGGTTTGGTTTGATTTTAGGCCATGGGGGGAGGGGTCCCCAGCCCTCTCCAAAGGAGCACCGGCTGATGCCATGCCAGCTGCAACCCCAGTAATCCCTAGATTATAAACTTTGGATTACAGACCATTGCTGCCAGTCCTGTGCATTGTGGCTCCTTCACCATTGGATGCATGCAGACACCGCTCACTGTATGTGCTGTGCCAGAAGCGCCTTATTCTGGATTTGCGTCCAAATTTATTTGTCCTACCTGAGTTCACGATGAAAACGTTTGATCTGATCAGTTACACTGAGCTGTGCAACTGAATCCTGTCAGCTGCAACCGATCCCACAACAAACCCCACCAAAATAAGAGAACAACGGCTTTGATTTTTAAGAATACAGTTTGATTTTTAACACCGTTCATCACTCTTTTTAAATCTAAAAATAGATGCGAAACAGATTACAGAGTGAGACAGCCTCCGCCACTGGTCTGAGACCATCTGGACTGCAGGGAGGGACGGTTCATTACGCTGAAGACAAGCTCCACCTAATGAAACGGCATGGGCAGATCTCTAATAAATCACACCGAAGAGTAAGCTGCTCTGCAATCTGCACACCGGCTTCATCCCCCTCACTGGGTCAGTGGCACAGCAGACGCCACAATACAAATCCTTACGTAAGCAACACTGCAAAATTAAATGTCCACTTTATAGAGACAACGCTGAGAGAATTGGACTAGCATTCCTTGAAGGAATGTCCCCCGCTGCTAAGATCATCTGATGTTAATGGCAGAGTTGTGGCCGTTCTGGTAAAACCATGAAGAGCAATATCCTGCAATGTTGCCACATGTTAAGATTCTGAGCAATAAAACTGCCCAGATTAATTTTTTTCCATTTTGTGTGAGCTGTTAAAAAAAACTCAGACTCTAAACAGAAAAATATAATGGCAATAATTCTGTAGCTATAAAACCAAACCG